AAAAAAAAAAAAAAAAAAGCGTAATAAAATATCGATGTTAATAAGCATGATTAAATAAAAAATATATATAACAAATGTGTATTATAAAATATTGATAAAAGAAACAAGTCGGTTCAATTTGTGAAAAGACGAACTGAAAATTGGTCCAACCTCTTCGGTTAAAAAAAAGTCAAAAAACTTAATTTTAGTTATTTATTTATTAATTTTCAATTTTTTAATTAGTTTGCAATTTTTTTTTATTAGATGGATATATATATATATATAAAAAGATTATAATAATATCATCTTTTATTAAATATTTTACTATTAAATAATTTTATATTAAATATGAATTTTATAAATTTAATAGTTAGACTGAAAGTTCATATAACTTTATATATGTATATTAAATTTTATTAAAATTAAATAATATTTTAAAAATAATTAAAGTATTTATATTTTAACGATATTATTATAATCCTTTTTAAATAAAGTTATTAAACGTAATATTTAATAAAAATTATAAATATTATTATAATTCTTTTCATATATATATATATATATTTATATTAATCAATAAATAATGGTGTGAAGTATATGTCATAAAAACTGACTAATTTTCGTTAAAAATACATAAGACGAATATTTTTTCTTTTTTTATATAATCTATTTATATACTTAAGACTAGAAATTATTAATTATTATATCGATGAACACTCTAATTAATAATTTAAAAAAAAAAAGAAAAAAATACATCAAAACTATTAGAATTATTTTAATAAAATATTCGAGATGAAAAATATATAAAGTCTTAAGTTTTAATTAATATTATCGTTATAATTTTGATAAAAAATAAACTTTTAATGAGATAAATTTATAGATAAGTATTATAATCACTTTATATTATTAATTAATATAAATAAATAAATAAAATTAATAATTTTTGAAGTATTTAATTTTATCTTATAATACTTTAATATTTTTTCAGATATATTTAATAGTATATAGGATATCAAAATTCATAAGGAAAAAAAAAAGTGGGCTATATTATAAAGTATTGATCCTGAATATTGGGTTTAATCCACCAATAGGCCACCATCTACACATTAACCTGGGAAGTGCCCCCATTATCTCAGGACAATAAAAACAGGATAAAGTTCAACTCTCTCTCCCATTTCTCTCTCTCTCTCTCTCTCTTCACACTCTACTTTCTTTCTTTCTTTCTTCTTACCTTCTCTTTCTCTTCCCAACACAAAGCACCTTCTTCTTCTCTTATTGACTTAAAGACTCATCATTTCTGGATCTCCTGGTAAACTTTTGTGCTTACCCTTTTCACTCTTCAGCTCCTTATTGCAATCTGATTCATTGCTTTCAGTTGTTCTGTTTTGTGCTTTTGGTCTGTGCTAATTTCATTACCCTTCTTGATCTATGATGGAGGGGTTTCTGTTTATTTTAGTTTACTTTACTTCCCATGTTGGAAGTTTTCTCTTTTCTAAGCTTGGCGGGTTTCCTCACCAGTTTAGCTATTTTTATTTTCCTGTTTTATATGAAAGCTTGATTTTTTTCATGATGGGTTGATGAGAGAATCCATTTGAATCGTCATTTATTGTCTTTGGTTTTGTAGGCATAATAATTATTCATTGTCTCTGCTTATGTTGCTTTTGCTTTCATGTTTGATTCGTTGGTGAATTGGATCTGTGAAATCAGAACAGCCCTGATCTGTTAGTTTATATCAAGGTTTTAAATTGCTGTCGTGATTGTGGTTGTGGTGGGAAATTTCAGCCGATGGGGTATCACATAAACCTTGATTTTGTGGCCAAAATCACGGTTTAGGACTGTTTTTTAAAACCTTGATTTTCATATGTAGGCTGGAATTTATCCTTGTAATTGAAAAATTTTCAATTTATTTTTGTTGGGGATGAGCCATTTGAGATTTTTTTTTATTGGTGTCTTTAGCCTATATTCATTTTATTTGTAGCCTTTTGGATCTGTGTCTGCTAAATAAATTTTGGACATGTATGTGCATATTTATGTAGAGATTCTCTTGATCTTCATCAGGAAAGTATTAGTTTTCATACCATGTTGACTGTTCTTTGTTTGATTGTTGTTGGCAGGTGTAAAGACCTTTTAAAAGTTTAAGAACTTATTAACTTGAATTGGTGTATGGTGCAACCCGTCTCGGTACTTTCTTTATTAGAAGCTTATAAGGTGGATCCATATTTTTTTCTTGGAAAATGATGATGATGTTTGATGAGATGGGTTGCAATGATTTGGATATGATATCTGCTCCCCTTGGAGAGGAGGATATTACCGCCCGGCAAACTGAACCAGAGGCGATAGTTGAGGATGATTTTAGTGATGAAGAAATTGGGATGGATGAGCTTGAGCATAGGATGTGGAAGGACAAACTGCTTCACAAGCGATTGAAGGAGCAAAGTAAAGTTAAGGAAGGAGTTGATGCTGTGAAGCAGAGGCAGTCCCAAGAACAGGCCAGGAGGAAAAAGATGTCAAGGGCTCAAGATGGAATCTTGAAGTACATGCTGAAGATGATGGAGGTTTGCAAGGCTCAAGGCTTTGTCTATGGCATAATTCCTGAGAAGGGAAAGCCTGTGACTGGTGCATCTGATAATCTTCGCGAATGGTGGAAGGATAAAGTCCGGTTTGATCGCAATGGTCCTGCTGCCATAGCCAAGTATCAAGCTGATAATGCTATCCCAGGGAAGAATGATGGATGCAACTCCATGGGTCCAACTCCTCACACGCTGCAAGAGCTGCAGGACACAACCTTGGGTTCTCTATTGTCTGCACTCATGCAGCACTGTGACCCCCCTCAGAGGCGGTTTCCGTTGGAGAAGGGCGTTCCTCCACCATGGTGGCCTACAGGGAATGAAGAGTGGTGGCCCCAAATTGGTTTACCTAAAGATCAAGGTCCTCCACCTTACAAGAAGCCTCATGACCTTAAGAAGGCTTGGAAAGTTGGTGTTCTGACTGCTGTTATCAAGCACATGTCTCCTGATATCACCAAAATTCGCAAGCTTGTGAGGCAATCCAAGTGCCTTCAAGATAAAATGACAGCCAAGGAAAGTGCCACCTGGCTTGCAATCATCAATCAGGAGGAGGCCTTGGCAAGAGAGCTTTACCCTGATTATATCCCCCCATTAGCCTCAGGTGGAGGTAGTGGATCTGTGGTCATGAATGATAGCAGTGAGTATGATGTTGAAGGTGGTGTTGATGAGCCTAACTTTGACGTGGAGGACCGGCGACCTGAGAGTCTTCACACATCCAATCTCGCCATGGAGAGAATGAGGGGAGGTCTGCCAGTTCAGCAGCCCTCTTTTTCAATCAAGGGAGAGGCTGTTACAAATTTGGATTTCATGAGGAAGAGGAAGGCCTCTAATGAGTTCAACATGATGGATATGAAAATTTACACATGTGAACAACCTCAGTGCCCTTACAGTCAAGTTCGCCTTGGTTTCCCTGATAGAATTTCTAGGGACAACCATCAATTGATTTGTGCATATAAAGGTAATTCTTCAGATTTTGGGGGTCCAAGTTTTCATGTTAATGAGGTAAAGCCTGTCATATATCCCCAGTCCTTTGTTCAACCCAAATCCACTGCGCAGTCTGTTAATATGGCTCCACCTGTAATTGATCTCACTGGACTTGAAGTTTCAGAAGATGGCCAGAAGATGATCGGTGACCTTATGACTAACTATGATACAAATGTTCAAGGCAACAAGAATGTAAGTTCCTGTAACCGCTTTGCAGCAGAAAATTCAAACTCTCCTCAGCATGGCATGCAGCAGCAACAGAACAACTTCATTTGCGGCCAAGGAATCACTATGGAAGGGAACAACCTCTTTGAAGAAGCTAACATGTCCAATAATCATCACATGTTTGCAAGGGAGGAAGGTCAGTTTGACCGGTTCAAAGCTTTGAATGCACCCTTTGAGACCACTCAGAACAACAACAACAACAACTTTCATTCGATGTTTGGGTCCTTTTGTGATTTGGCATCATTTGATTTTAAGGAGGATATGCAAGGAGTAGGGATGGATGCTCTTCAGAAACAGCCAGATATTTCTATATGGTACCAGTGAAAGTGACAAATGGAATCTGCAAGATCATTATCTACATCATGAACTCTTATTTTCCTTCCAAGGGTTGCACCCCTGATCATGTGAAGTTGCTTAAGCCAAAAGTTTCACTGCAATTTTCTTCACCTGTAATTCTGTAGGCCTAGAACTAGATATTATTATATGTTTCTGCTTTACAGGTCTAGTATATGTTACAATAAAAACTTATATGTTCCCATTAAGTGGCCCTTTCATGGTGATTTTATTTTTTTCTTTTTCAGTTCAGCCTTCTTGTTACTTGAGATTATTCTCTGTAAGACTGTGATATAAATAAGATTCTAAATTTTACTTTTACCATATGATGAAGAATCTAAAATGTGTGGCCCAGTTGAGGGTAAAATTGTTGGATCTTGGATAAATGATGAAAGGTTTGTCCTTTAGTGCTGCTTTTTCTTATGCTTATCCTTTCTTTCCCATGTGAAAATGGACCCCCAAGAACACTTGTTTGGCTGATGAGTTGAATTCCATGTGGATTGCGTGTTCAGCTTTTGTGGTGGGGGCACATCATTCACATCTTTTATTTGTGTTACTTCACTGGTCAATTAATTAGCCAGGGATTTTAATTGTTCAACACCATTGAAAGTGCCTATTCATGGGACAGGGAAAGGTCCATTTCATTAACTGGCCAAGGCGGCCGAACATTATTTATATATATATATAGAGAGAGAGAGAAACAGAGATAGTGGTGGGAGGAGAAGAAAGAAAGGAGAAATTCATTAATTACAAAGAGTAAATTTTGAGAGATTTATTTAATTTAATAAATTATATTTTATATTAAATTTTAAAATTATAATCGATAAATAAAAAATTTAAATATATAAGTTAATTGTATAAATTTTTTAAAAATTTAAAATTTATTTAATATTTTATTTTATTTATTCAAGTCGATAAATAATTATAAAAGAATTTATACTATATAAAAAAATATCATATGATTTAAATTTTTAAATAATTTGTAGAATTAAAATATATATTAAGAATTTTTAATATTATAGTTAGATTATTAAAATTTTATCTACAACATTATAAGTTTATTAAGATAAATGTTTGTTTTGGTGAAAAAGAATATATTGTTATCATATTATTTTATTTTAATATATAAATAATATTTAAAATATATGTAAATACTTTTTATTAAATAACATATATACAAGCATTCAAATTACTTAAAATTTACGTATAATTATAAATATAAAATAATCAATTACGATTGGATTGGTTAAAATTTATATTCTATAAAAATTTATTCAAAGTGTCAATAGATATTACCCCACTCACACGTATATATAATGTGTTTTTTTCTGTGTGTCTGCTTTACCCTTTCCATTGTTAAAATTCATACCATGTAGTACACCTACTTTTGAAATTGGAGGCAATTGTCTGGTTGAAAATAAGTGCAATGTAAAATGGCACTGTTGTCATAAATTTTTTTGTGTAAACTTCATTGTTTGAAAATGTGCTATGGATAATAATAGCACGTGTTGAAAAAAATCTGCAAAGGGTGAAGAGACCCGGTGTTGTGACTTGAATAGTGCGTGGTATGAGAAAAAAGAAAATGAAGACAAGCATCTTTTTTCTCTTATTTGAACAAGTGTAAAAGTATAGGACGAAACGTACTTTAAATTATAGAAACTTGAAATTGAATGTAAAAGTATATGCAAGAGTAAATTATACTTCCCAATAAGAGATACGCATAAGATACTATCATTTTTTTTTTTTTGTTGAAAAATACAGTTTTATCTCGTCACAAATTTGAATATGATATTTTATTGTTTGAATTCTGATTTTAGATATAAAATAAATTGCATTAAGAGAAAAATATTTACTTTATGTACATGTTCGTTGAAAGAAATTAATCATTATTTTTAATAATGAATTTTTTGTATTAATAATATAGTTAAAAAATAATTTGATACTGCACTCTTTTTTTTAAGAAAAAAAATTCTTTAAAGTTTTGTTAGTTTTGTTTAAAAAATTAAATATGACATTGTATTTTCAAATTTTGACTTTACGTATTAAATAAATTGTGTTATAAGGGGAACACCACTTTGTGTGTTCATGGTCGTTGACGAATATTAGATATTATTATCGTTAATGAATACATCGTACTAATATTATGGTTAGGCAAAAAAAAAATATGACATTGTACTTTTTAAAAAAAAAAATCTTTAAAGTTTTATTAGTTTTAGTTAAAAAATTGTTACTATTAAAACATATTTTACACTAAAAATCATCAAAGATGTAAGCATTACACCTCCTTTCATCTAACATGTGACATCTTTCTACTCCAACGAACTTAACAAATAAAATATATGAAAATTTTAAAAAATAAGATAATTATAATAATTCATTTCATAAAACTTGTAAAGGAGTTCACATCTTTATTCTTCAATTAAAATAAAACATATAAGGTATTACTAAAATCAACTTTTTTAATCAAAAAAGTTATGACAACAAAAAAAAAATTAAATTGAAATTCAACTTAAACAACTATTACTCCTAAACTCAATCTCAATGTCATATTATTAGAGTAAGATCCCCCTCTTTATTGTTTTCTCTTTCCTCAAACTCATCATCTTGTACCTACTTCATTCCTATAAATGGTGTCCAGTTCAAACACCTATAAATGATGTTCAATAAAAACACAAACTTACAAATACATGGAGTGAGAATACATGTCATCCACCACAACATATACAAAGCATAAGGATAAACACACATTAAATAACTACATCTCATACACCTTCATTAATTATCTCATACAATATTAATAACAACAGTTTAATATATCACATTTCATCTATCACCATCATTCCATTGATAAAAAAACATAACATATTCATCAATTAAGACTTATGAGATGTATGCTCCTAACTCTACACGCATGTGGTACCAATCTCTTCATTATCATCGAGTGTACAAAATAGCTTAGGAGTAAAGGATTGAGACCACTCCATTGAATAGTGTAAGGACCACCCATCAATAGTGACCCCCTCAACTAGATGATGTCTACCGGGGGGTCCTATCGAAGTGTAATAGTTGGCTATGGTAACCTCCCATTCCCGATAGAGGTTTTCCCACCATAACACTCCCGGGGCATAGGTAGATGCCTATGATATCCCACTTGCATAGACTCACACTATCTCGTGAAACAAACCATGAAATGCATGGATTTAAACAAGCAATTCAACAACACATATGCATCTTGTAACACCTTGATTTTCACAAATTATATGAAGGCTTAAAGCCCAATAAGGGTTATTTAGTAGCCTAGAATGGGTCGTTCCCAAACTGGAACAGGCCGTTCCAAACTACTAAAAAGGCCTATAAATCCTAGATTGGAACGGGTCGTTCCAACACAGGCTGTTATGAATAAAATTTGAATCCAGAACGAGCCGTTCCAGACATGGCCATTATGAGTTAAAACTCAACTCTAGAAAGGGCCATTCTGGTTTAAGAACAGGTCGTTCTAGATCAGAAACGGGCCGTTCTAGATCCGAAACAGGCCGTTCTAGATCTGAAACGGGACATTCTGGCCACTTTTGATGTCTATAAATAGCATACCCAGACACTACTCCTTAACACACTCTTTGAAGACCAAGGAGAACCAAGAGAAGGAGATCAACCAGATTCTACTCTAGCTTCATCTTCTGCTTATCCAGGTAAGGGGGGAGTGAGAAACCTCGCTCGAGGGTGTGGGAATAATTGTTGGGTAACAGGATTGACCCCCAATCCCTTGCCTGATGCATACTTCTAGGAACAAGCAAAATATGAATTAGAGTGCTTTGTGGGTTCCTATGCGAAACCCTATGAGAAAAAATTATGAGTATGACTATGTGAAATGTGACCAAATGACATGAGACGTGATGTGAATGACATGCTATTGTGAACACTATGACTATGAGAATGTGAAACGTGATGAAATGAGATAAGACATGAAATTCCATGACAATTAAAGTGATGAGTCCACGAGTTTGTGAATGTGTGACATGCATTATATGACGGGGTACGATATGAAGTACAACGTTAGGGAAGGCCCTCCAAATGTGAAACATCTTGGAGGAGTCCTAGGGGATAGTGCGTTTGGAAGGCCCAATTTTTCTCGTTTGTGTGCATAGGACGTATCTTGCGCGGATTGGCTATCCTGACGAGACCTTAGCAGTACATCCTTCTAGTTGGGAGTGCACGGTTGAGCCGGCATGTACTCCTAAACTACTCTAGGTATATTGCTTCGGCAACATACCACTTGATATGTGATTATGAGACACGTGACTGGCGCCACATGCATGCATTTGTGAGTCGAGTCCATGACATCATTGCATGATGAATAACTGTGCATGCGTTACTATTGTATGTATAATTTGAATTTGCACCTGATTAATGTGTAGCTATGGTTGTGCTTGTTATGATTTGTGTGTGTGTTGCCAAACTGTTATTTTTACACCTGAAACCGAGTGAGATGTTTCTCACTCCCTTGTTGTTCTTTATATGTGTTTAAATTGTGTTGCAGGTGATCATTAATATAGAATGTTGGTGATGAGGCTTAGGCTTCAGTTGGGCATGCTCTAATAGGATGTGTGACATCGGGGCATAGCTAGGCTTAGTTTAGGATTTCATTATTGTTATTTTGTTTTGGAAAAACTCATGTTTCATTTTTCTATAAATTCTGCATTTGACCATGTTTTAAGTTTACGAATGTGAATTCTCTACTCTTATGTTAATGGAACCATTGTTTTAATTCTAAAGATTTTATTTAACCTAAGAATATGTTTTTATAATTATTGTATATGTATGTTGGGGTAGAGGGTGTCACACATCCTCAACTCCTCGAGTGCTAGTCAACAACACTAGATATATACAACATCTCTCATCATCAATTTCTCATAAATTATCACTTTAAAACATTCATCACAATCATTCAAGAGTATCTCAAACAAACAACATGACAACAAATCACGCTAATTCATATACTCTTAATCATTATATTCATTTATTAGTAAATTATCACATCTCTTCCTCATGGTTCAACAATCCACAAAACAATTAAAAGAATAGGCATGACACTCGATGAGGTTTAATCTACGCCCAACACAGAGAGTCTTATTCATCAATTACTTATCTTAATTCTTACTTAGTATCACCTCTTAACTCCTCAATTATCTTTTAAAAGATAGAAAATAATTATTTAAATATCCTTTCCCCAAACTTTCATATAAACACATCAATTATTTCAATTCATCATTACTACATCCTCAGATTAACATATTTCAATCAAAAACCCTCAAAATTCATACATATT